AATCATTAATCTAAAACAAAACAAAACAGGCAGCTTCTATTTTCAGAAAGTTCTGAAAGGGCATTTCAAGCAGCCAAAAATTCTTTCAAATTTTTCTCCAAGGCTTCATTTTTATGTGTGTGTTGATTTGCTTCTTTGGACAGATTGATCAGTTGGACGCAATACTCAGTTTTATGGATTTGGAGACTGCTTTGCTTGACTTGGACCATATGTATCATGCCAGTAAAACTGGTTACAAGGCAATCCAGGGAGCCCACTTTGAGGTTGTTTCTACAACAAAGCATCGGGTTTGCATTCGAGTCGTTTGGGGGAGTCCCTGTGAATTGACTAAGCAGCCAGAGGAAGAGACAGTTTAAGATTCTGTCCATTCCAAAAGAACTTCTGAGGACTTTGTTGAAAACTAGCTCAGGAGCAGCTCACAAGTCAACCAGTCAGTTAAGTAATGTAGCTGTCTCCTGGGGACTGTTGTTCAGTTGTTGTGTGAATTTATTTTGTTTTAATTTTTGCCTATGCACAGTGATCCTGATCCTCTGTCCTAGTTTGCAGAAATTCTTACTGTGTGCACCCTAGGTTTGAATTCTTACTTGCATGTATTTTTTTTTTTTTTCTTTTTCTTCAATTCTTCATGGCTTTGTTTTTTTAAAAAAGTTTTTATTGTGAATTGAGCGATAGTTTACATGGGGGAACATCAGTTTTGCATTCATTGTTTCATTGCAATGATTACAATCTCCTCTGTGCGTCATCATTCAAAAGTTTTTGCTTCTCAGAACCAGACTTCCGGGCTACAGGCCCGGCAGAGACAGGGGCCTCAGCTATAGACCCCCGGAAGAAGCCAAGAATCTGAGAAGAGACAGCAAAAGAATCAGCCTCTGCTCTGGGCAAGAAAGACCCAAGGCAGACTCCTAAAAAACTCGGACCCAAGTTTTTTGCCACTTCTAGTAAATCTGCCCGGAAAACTCACCAGAACCCTAAGCAACAGCCCAGAAAACCCAAAGTGCCCCAGTTACCCTAAACCTGGCTCAGCCAGAAGGAATTAACCAGAGAGAGCTTCCTGGAGGCTTAAAAAGAGCCAGGCCTGCCCCCAAGAGTGAGGCCTGGGCCGAAAGGGTGTTCAGAACCACCACAGGTAACTGCGACACATGTTCCGAGGTGTAGTTAAGACCCTACATTTTGAAATAAAATCTATTTTTAAGTGTTCTTCTGCCTATTTGCTACTAGAACGGGGAAATCCATTGCTACTCTGTGGTTGTGTTTTTTGTTATTGTTATTAAAGTATACCATTTGCAAAAAAAAAAAAAAAAGTATTTGCTTCTATTCCCTCAGTTTTTGTTTTGTTTTGTTTTGTTTTTTGGTGAGGGGGTTGAGGGAGGAGTGTACACAAAAACACTCAGGAATATATAAATAACCAAAGGGCACATTCTGGAAGCCTGCCTCCTGGCCACCAGCACCTGGCTGCCAGCACTCAGCCTTTCTCTTTCCATGAGTTTGGAGTCCTCAGCTGCTCTCTCTCCATGCCCACAGCTCTGTCTCCATCTAGAATCTCTATTGCTTTTGAGGATGCCTTATCTTGGCAATTACGGTTCCTGGACTTACATTCTTTATATCAGCTGTCTACATTTGTATTCTTTGCTTTTCTGTTACATGCTTTAGCTTCTGTAGATTAATAATTTCCCCTTAGTGACTGAGTGTTACTGAAATGTTGTCACTTGGTGCCAACCCCTCATAGTTTTTTCGTTAGTTTTGTTCTATAACTGAAGTTTTATTAACTTTTATAAATGAACTTTTCTGTGTGCTTTAACCAAAAAGCTTTCCTTTTATTTCTCTTATTAGTATTTCTGAATCTGTTTTGTTGCCTAGATTCATGATGCTATCATTATTATTACTAGGATCATGGACTGTTGTATAAAGTCTACTTCATGTCATTTCTCAGGTAACAAATATACTTGCCCATGAAGGGAACCATCACATGCACTAGGGCATTTTTCTAAGAATGTTGTTGTTAAGTGCCATCAAGTCGATACAGTAGCAGCTGGTGGGCTTGAACCACTAACCTTGTGGTTCACAGTCCAGTGCTTATGCATTCTGCTCTACTAGGCTTAGTGTCTTAGATGGAAACAGGGAAATGGCTCCATGATTAGCTTGATGGAAATGTCGCTGTCATTTAAGACCCTGGTGAAGAACCAGATGGGATCTGGTGAAAATCCACCATGAGTTTAAAGAGCCTTCCCTGGCCACCATTCCAGCACAGTCCCGGTTGATCACCGATGTGTTGATCCTTGATCTCTGATCAGGAGCAGGGATCCTTCAGAGCCTGACATCTGAGAGGACCGGGCGCCAGCAGCCAGAACCTTAACTCCACCTGAGCGCCGGCATCCAGTTCCGGGCGCCATCTGCGAGTACCAAGTACTGTACCTCCCTGACAGCAGAGTGTATGTGAAAGCTAGATGAAGGCCCACTCTCCTGTCCAGCTTGAGGGTGGGCAGTTTTCCTCTCAGAGAATTGAAGGAAACTGGGGTACCAGGTCCCATGGTTGAGTCACCCCAATGGCCTCAGAGCCAATCCTGTAAACTTTCCTATCCCCTCCTTGCTTGCTTCCGTAATCCAACCTGAGGCTGTGCCGCATCCATCTGCTGCTTGTCGTGGGTTTGTCATGAAATCCCTTTGTTCTCTGTGCCCTAGAAAGCCAGCCATGTGGACAGATACCCTTTGGATTTCATTATGGCATCAGGTTGGTTTCCCTCACCGAGATGATCTGTTTGTCCTGTCTTGTCTTTACCCCATTTAAGACACAATAGAGTCTCTATAAAATAAATGTATTTGAATCTGGGGTCTTGCCCTCCCTATGGCAACGATTGGAGGCGGTGTTCGAACCTGTCTGTCCTGAGTAGATGTGGCTTCTTTGTTGTTGTTATTAAGTGCTGTCGAGTCGGTTCTGACCCATAGTGACCCTGTATAGGGTTTTTGAGGAGCTTGGTGAGCTTGAACCTCCGGCCTTGTGATTTAAGTGACTTTGCAGTCCACCGCATCAGCCCCAGTGCCACAAATACGATGCGGATTCTAGAGCTTCACCGATGTCAGAAGTTGGACGGAACCAAATACATTCAATGTCACTGGTTGACCAAGAACATCTTTTCCTCCTGCATTTGCTCAAACCGACTACATACATCTGCTCTAAGCTGTCAAGAAGGAGTTATTGTATCTAGTAAGAAGAAAATAATTCCAAGTTTGGAAGGAATAAAAAAAGTATCTTTCGAGGTAAAAGGGAGACGGAGATTTCAAACTCAGGCCAGCCTCTTCAGTTCAGAGAAGCTGACGTGGGTCCAGGGAGGGTCACTGAGTCCCTAGGTGGGTTCCTGGTAAGCCTGGCTGATAACCACAAGACTAGAGGTTCAAGTTCACCTAGAGGTGCTGTGGAAGAAAGGCCGGGAGGTTGACATACCTCTGAAAAGTCAGCCATTGAAAAGCTCAGGGAGCACAGCTGTGCCATGGTACAGGAGAACCAGAACTGACTTGGCAGCAGCAGGGTCATCTGGGGTGAATCCTGGTTAGCTGTCAGGAGACCTTCATGATAAGTGTAAATGTTTAGTTTCTTCTCTCACCCATTCAATACACAGCTCTTTCATATACACCACATGTTACCACACACACGTTCACACGCTGCCCTGATCGCAAAGCGCCTCTTCACCTATCGCTCCTGTGTGAACTGAGAGACCAAGGGGAAGATGAAGTACATTCAGGTGTTGGCCAACAGTGATTCCTGATCACACTGTTATTCTTTCAAAATACACTTTATTAGCGGCACATGGAGTTTAAAATTAGGCAATTTCTTTCCAGAGAGGTAAGCCCTGACCAAGTAGAATACTGAGCAGAGAGGTCATGGGGGGGCCAGGAAGAGTCTCCACCAAGGAAGTCACGTTCTCCACCGTGCCGACCACCTGGACACACGCCCAATTCAGCAGGAGGGGAAGGATCAGAGCGTGGGGCAGTACGCGGGCACGCTAAGTCGCTGTGCCTTCTTACGCCCACTGGCCCCTTCTGCCCCTCTCAGTGTCCAAAGGCTGGAGAGGTCTTGAGCCCTGGCTACTCACTCTGTGAAGACCCGGAGGGTCTGTGGCAGCTGAGACCCTCTGAGGCTGGCTCTGCTCAGGTGTGCTGGCTGGAGGGAGGACAAGGACACAGCCATTATGGTGAGGGAGTCAGAAAGCCCACAGGCCCTAAGGAGCTCCCCCCAACAGCAATTATGGTGAGGGAGTCAGAAAGCCCACAGGCCCTAAGGAGCCCCCGACAGAGCCTCCCAGTCACCATCTGGACATGGTGCTCCCAGACCAGGGAGCTCCTGGATTACCAGGTGGGTGGGTGGTTGTTTTTCAGACTTCTGAAACAGGACTGTAAATAGTAAGTCCGAGATCTGCAGTTTCTAACAAAAATCAGTTTCTTCTTTCAGACGAGGAACATCTCCCTTAGAGACTTTCCTTATTGGGCCCAATGTTCCTCAGACCCAAAATGAGCTCTGTACCACTTTGGGGCCGACCGGACTTCTCCCAGGAGCTCCCTGCAGCGGCTCTTGTCTGACTGCCCGGTACCTCCACTGGGGCCTTGCCCTCCCACCTTGACACCTTCACAGTCTGGGGCGTGGGACTGCTCGGGAGCCTACAGCTCTGTCATGACCATGGGTCCCCCAGTTCCATTGGCTGCCGCTGTCATGCCAGGTCATGCCTTCTCCTTTCTCACCTCACGCCGTGTGGACCATCCTCCACAGACCCACTAGACAGGGCTGTCTCGGTGGGCCTTATTTTTGAAACTAATTAGGCATTTCTCTTTTCACTTCGATACCCACCCCTTAATCAAGCATTCACATACTTAAGTGATCAAAGCAACAAAAGGAGTGAGAGATGGCACGGTTTTTCCATGTCTACCTCTAACTGACTAAGCTACATCTCCACACTGGGGAGCTGCACTTTACCTCCGAGCTAGCATCTAGAACTCAATCTTCCACGGGCTCAGGGCAGGTCAACAGTAGTGGACTCGTCCCGCTCGATGCCACAGTGCAGCTTGCCATCCTTGGCGGCGGCCCAGGGCATGCAGGTGGAGGTCCACTTTACTGCCCAGTTTCCGGTTTTGTCGACCAAGATGATACCACCCAACCCTCTCAGCCTGGACTTCATGTAACCCAAGGACAGGGTAGCCGCCTCTTCCAGCGTCTTTCCTAGAAGCAAAGGAAGGTTTTGATGCAGCAGAGGCTACTGACAGGAAGGAGCTCTGATCATAAAAACATTTGCATCTGACAAGCCACAGCCAGGGGACAAAGATTTACACCCGAGGCTGAAGCAGTCCAAGAGAAGCTGACAGGTGGTGTCAATGGTTAATACCATGCTCGAACCAAAAGGATGGAGGTGTGAGTCCTCTTAGAGGTGCCTTGTTAGAAAAGACTGGCAATTGACTTCCAAAAAAATCAGCCACTGAAAATTCAACAGAGCGATTCTACTCTGACACACATGGGGATGTTGTGAGCTGGAACAAACTCGGCAACTGTTTTGTTTTTCTTTTGGGGCTGCTTAAAAGAGGGTTTTCGCTATAAGAAAAGCGTCCTCGTGGCGCAGTGACAAAGCACGCGGTTGCAAACCTAAACGTCAGTGGTTCTGGACCCACCAGTCGATCTTCAGGAGAAAGATGTGGAAGTCTGCTTCTGTTAAGATGAAACCAAAAAACCAAACCTAGGGCCAGCGAGTCAACTGCAACCCTCAGCGTAGGACTGTCCTATAGGGAATCTGAACGGAAGCATCTCGTGCCCTCAGAATGACTGGTAGGTTCGGACCACTGACCTTTAGTCTAGCGGTCAAGTGCTTAACTACTGCGCCACCAGGGCTCCTTTCTGTAAAGATGATAACATCGAGAACCCTATAGCGTCCTATAGGGTTACTGAGTCAGAATCAACTCAGTGGCAGGTGTTTTGTTGTTTTGCTTCTTTCTGATGACGTCAAAGGAGGGTCTTCCCTAGGAGACCCTTCCTACAGGAGACAGCCTGAGTCTGAGCAGCAGCCGACACGGCGCCGCCTGCTCTCCAGACCGGGCTGCATGCCTCCCCCACCCAAGACGGGAAAGACCCACAGGGGTTTACTGTAATGTTTTCCTGTTTCAGGTCCTTACAGAAGGCGGCAAGGAGACAAAACAAAGTAAGAATGGACTGCCTGAGAGTAAAACATGCGCAGCCAACAGGAAGGGGTTCTAGATCCTTCTCCATCTGCTGATCGTGTGCCTTCACAGACTCTCTCCTGCCCAGCGCCTATGTACCTTGTTCCACGTGGAAGAGAGTCAGCCTGGCCAGGTTCACCTTCAGGATGCTCTCCCCGTGCCCCGTCGTTGATGCGGCTCCGATGTTATTGTCAGCATAGCCCCCGGATCCTGCTCGGGAGGAAGGTGATCAGTTCTAACGGAGCCGCAGTCCCAGCATCGTAGTGGTACACAGTCCCAGTCTACTGTGACACAAAGATCAGTCCCTAAGAGGGCTACGGTGCAGCCAAGGGCCACTCAGCAGCCACGATTGTGTGGATGCCAAGATGGAGCAGCCATTGCCACGGGAACGCCCTGACACCCTGGAGGATGAAGGGAGCCTGACCGTTCATGGATGGACCCTTTTGCTTAGTGCGGCCACGCCCACACCCCAACACCATGACTGTGTTGTGAGGGTCACTACATTCAGATTAACTGGGAAACCGATATCCCTAACCCTAACACCGACGCACCCCGCCCGATGGTTTGGCGGGCAGTTCCATTCATTGAGGGTGGCTTCTGGACCCGAGGGAACGACTCCGGGCTCCCCTGAAGAGGAGGCTCTGAGCTAAGGCTGCTGGTAACATTTCTGTTAATCTGGTCCAGAAGGAAGCAACCTCTCACTGTTATCGTCCATTCTTCTGTCAACATAGAGCTGCCACCCCGAGGACCCTTTCTACTTGCAAGGGTCAGCCTCGGCCCCTCCCTAACTGTACAGGGCCTTTACTGACACCGAGCATGGGCAGAGGCTCAGGCACAGATTCTAAGAGCCCTCGAGGGCAGGAAGGCCCCGTGGCTCTAGTTTTGGAGGGAGCTGATACTGGGCAGTGAATGGGAGGTGTGCTTTCTTGTTCTTGTCAGTCCTGCTGCAGGGACCAGCTGGCCAGCTCCCTGGGGCTTAATACAGCTGACCCATTTGTCTTCTTTGCAGTTACCTCAGGACACAAAAGGCCAAGGTAACAGAGAGTGACCCTGACATGGGCACCCAGATTGTGCAGGTGTCCACCCACACGCATGCTGTGCAAAAGAATAAACTCAGGGCCTGAGGCTGCTGCCCTCTGAAAGGTCTGCTCACAAGCATTCCCATCATCCCCAGGACCCATGAGAGAGGCTCACTGGGCTCAACTGTTTGTGAGAAGAATGTGGCCTCTGCTAAACACCTGCTTTTCTCAGAGTCAGGAACTGCAGGATGTATTAGGAAGAGGCTGCCTCTGTGACCAGTCCCCAGTAGTAACCCTGGACCCTGACTTCATCATGAGCTGCCCCGAAAGAAAGCGTGTTGCCATAGTTGTTGCTGGGGGAACTGAGTGTGCCCTGTGTGACCCCACGGAAGAGGACTCTGCACTTGGCCGTAGGTGCTTTTTCCCTGGGCTGGCTTTTGCCTGGAGTCCTGTGGCCATAATTTGCCTGAGTTGTGAATACAACTGTGAGTCCTCCCAGGCATGGTCTTGGAACCCGCAAACACATGTGCACACATTAAGATGACAACCGTGTTGTGTTGTCGAGGCAAATGTTGCTTCTGGGGGCGGGGGTGAGGGGGTGGGGAGGATTATCAGCAGTCAGCTAGGTCAGGCAGAGCAAGCTGGGACTGGTCTGGAAGGACAAGACTAGACACACTTGGGGCTTATAACCAGGGCAAGGGCTTGTGAGAGCCTAGCGTGTGCCTATTTCTCTCAGTGCATGAACAGCGTAACTCCAACACTTGGAAATGTGGTTCTAGGAACTGCCTTGGGGCGGCCCTGCAGCCTTGTCTGAACCCCGCTGGGTGTCTGTGGTGGGCTATGCCGATGACTTGGCATATTTTGGTAGGATTTCTGCTAAGGAGAGAGAGAGGAAAAAAGGCAGACAGTTCCCTGTCTCTAGGAGAGTGCAGGAATCAGGCGTCAACTCTTTCAAGAGGCACCGATGGTTTCCTGTCAGTCTGACACAGAATTAAGGTCACCACAGGCGGTCAACAGGAGTGGGTATTTCTGAAGAGCAGAGCAACAAATGATGAAGGGAAGGCAGGGCTTGTCCTTCACTCAAAATGTGAATGGCTCTTTTGGGGCAGAGAGAACACTAACTCTTTCTCAAACCCACAGTCATCTGCAGGGGCTGCTGGGAGATAGCCCGCCCTGGGCATTAGGTCACAGGCTTCCATGTTCCAGTCATAGCGCACACAGCCACCTGCAGTCTTGTCGTGGAAGCAGGATGTCCCTCAAAGCCAGTGGCTGCAAACTGACCTCCTCAGTGAATAAAAGCCTACAAGTCCACACAGAGGTTATAGATCCTGAAACTTGGGCTAATGAGAAGCAAGAGGCCCCCTAGGAGAACTCCTCCCGAGTCACCTCCCAAAAAACAGCAATCCAGGAAAACCAGACACTAGCTACGAACACGCTCTCTCTATACCACCTTCCAACCCAACTGCCACCACCAGAAATTCTGAAGCTGCCGCCATGGAGATGAAAGGAAAAGAAACTGAGGGAAGAAGAGGAAGGTTAGAGAAGCGGGGAACTGAATGAAGAGAGAGGGGAAACTCACCCATCAGGCCTACCTACACATGGCGAGTCCCCAACACGACCGACCATTTTATTAATGATACCCCCTGTGGAGGTAGCATATGCGACGTTTCCTTTGCAATCCAGGGCAACGGCACCCACGGTCCCCAAATTTCTGCCAAAAAAGAACATAAAGAAGTGACAGAATCAAGATGAGAAACAATGTTACTTAGCGCCCCTGAAGCCCCTCCCCCCATTAAACAGGAGCGGTGAACAGGAGACACTTTGGTTCCAACGTTTCAGACTCACAGAAATTGCGAAGGACTGTTTGCTTTTGATTCTAAATTCAAACAGTTTTTGAATTTTAGCTTACTGGACATTTCTTTTGGCTTCAACCTTAAGAGTATCTGCATCAGCATCTTGTAGCTATGGGACCTTCAAAAATACTAAAGCCCAGACCCACTGCCGTTGAGACAATTTGACTCAAAGCAACCCTGTTGTTAGTGTCGTTGAGTTGGTTCCAACTCATAGTGACCCTGAACAGGGCTTCTGAGGAGCGGCTGGTGAGTTTGAACCGCTGACCTTGTGGTTGAAACCAACCTTGTGGTCCAGTGCTTATCCTATAGGCCAGGATGCCATAGCAACCATAGAGGACAGTACAGAACTGCTCCATAGGGTTCCTGAGGCTGGAATCTTTACGAAAGAAGACCGCCACATCCTTCTACCACAGAGTCACTGGTTGGGTTTGAACCACCAACCTTCCGGTTAGCAGCTGAGCTCTTAACCACTGTATAACCAGGGTTTCTTTGTGTGACCTTGTTGTTGTTTTGTGCCATTTCAACTCATAGGGTTTTTAAAGAGCGGCTGGTGGATTTGAACACCAACCTTGCAGTTCAAACCAATCTAGAGGTACAGTGCTTACCCTAGAGTGCCACACCAAGACCTCAGTTAAATATTACTCTGTGTCTCATATTTTCCCATCTATAATATACAGTGGGTGAAAAAGAATAGAAAATGTACCTCAAACTTGAGTGCGTGTAAGAACCACTTGGAATCCTGGGCCCTGATTGGGTAGGGACAGGGTGTGACCCAAGAGTCCACCGCTCTGACAAATGCCCTGGAGTTGCTGATGCTGCCAGTCCCTGGACCACACTTAAGTGCCTCTTTAATGGTGATACTGAAAGTGGATGACTCGTTCTCCCAACATGTACTGAGTTATTGTTTAAAGTTGAAAAGCTTTTACAGTAACACCCTTATACCACCACTTAGGTTCTATAACGAACTATATTCTAGGCACCTGTTTCAGGCTAGGGCATGACAAAGAACCTAGTTCCATGGGTATTTACAAAAGCATCTGGCAATATCTCCTTGGGGCAGAAGGTGGTGGTCACAAGGCACTGAGAACAAAGAAGACCACAGAGAACAGGGAGAGTGGCGGTGTGGAGCGGGGTGTAATGAAGGCCCCACGAGGGGTGCACAGCAGCCGTGCTGACTGAAAGAGCATTCTTGGGCAAGCTCGCAGATTTTGAGGTGGCTTCTGTGGCTGGAGAGAATTAGGTGAGGAGGAGAGTGGCGGGGGGGAGGCCGGCCAGAGGGACAGCCAGTGGTCAGATCATGAAAGCTATGGCCACAGTCTGGTTACTCATGGCAGTCCTGACCTCTGTCTGATGTTGTTGCTGTTGTAAAGTGCCGCCGAGTCACTTCCAACTCATAGAGACCCTGTGTAGGGTTTCTAAGGAGTGGCTGGTGAGTTTGAACCGCTGACCTTGTGGTTCACACAGACCTTGCGGTCTAGGGCTTTATCCTACAACAGCACCCCAGGACTTAATTATTAACAGTGCCCCCTTTCATTCCCAACACGGTTCCAGTTTGGACACCACATGATATTTGTTCTGCTATAGGCCATCTGAGTGAGATGTGAAGATGCTGTCGAGTCTGAGCTGAGATGTGACATCATAGAAATTAAGTTTTAAACTTATTCTATGACTGAACTGAAAGAAATGATATCAAATGTTGACAAGGAAGTGTAGCACTGGACTGTTATGCTCACCACTCATGGGAGTCGTGGTGTGGTGCTGTAATGTAAGCACTGGACTGCTAACCACAATATTGGAGGTTCAAGCCCACCAGTCAGTCCTTGGAAACCCTATGTAAGGTAGCTATAAGTCTGAACCAGCTCCATGGCACTTAACAACTCCTCATGAAAGAAAGGTGCTTTGGTAGTGTAGTGGGGGATGTGTCGGGCTGCTAACTGCAAGGTCAGCAGTTCGAATCCACCAGCCGTGCTATGAGAGAAAGATGAGCCTTGCTTCTCCCATAAAGACTTATAGCCTCGGAAACCCAATTAGAGGGTTGCTTTGAGTTGGAACCAACCCGCAGGCACACAACCACCACGACCACCACCACCACCACCACCACCACTCATGGTCCAAACTCTTTGGAAAACCCTTTGGCAATATTTACTGAAGCTAAACTCATGCATACTCTATTACTCAGACTCAGCAACGATGTTTCTAGATACCTAGCCAACTGAAAGATGGACACGCTTCTATTAAATGATGTGGACACAAATGTCCATGGCAGCACTCTTTATAATAACCCCAAACTGACAACTGACTACAATGAAATGAAACATTTCACATGGCAAAAATAGCATCAAGGCAGATAAACTGTGATGTAATCATGAAAAGAGATGCTATTACTCCAGGAAGAAAGAACAAACCTGCTACATACGACCCATGCCTGGGGCTCATGGCCGTGAAAGGCCGCCCCCAAGAATACACACTGTGCCATTCCAGTTCAGTCAAGTTCAAGGCCAGGCCAACTAACCTGTGGTGTGAGAAGCCAGGAAGAGGGGAATGCGAGGATGAGGCGTGAGGGAGAGCTCTGGTAAGGTACCATTTCCCAATCTGGGTGTGGACCACACAGGTGTGTTCACGGAATGAAACGCATCAAGGTGTACAAAAATCATTTGTGCACTTCTATCGGTATGCATCAATTCTTCTACGATCTTCC